GGAGGCGAGGCAAGAGAAAACCCAGGACAGGAATAAAGTTCTTTGATGTGAACACATCCGTGTCTTTTTATTCTCCGTTCCGGTTGTTGATGTAAGGAAAGGCCAGCGCTTGTGTGAGAGACACACCCCAGAGAGTTAAGGATAAATTACAGGGCTCGCTCACCTTGCCAGAATCGTAAGGTTTAAAACGAAAACAAGAGTTGGGTAAGGGCTTTTGTTTGTTTCTGCTCCGGCTGAACCCTTAGGAAAAGCTCCTTGCAGTTTCATCAGTAATTTGGTTTCCCCCCTATAGAATCATGAGGACTAGGAACAACCCCTTTTTTTAAACCCTGCATTTGCTCCTTAAATAAACATCAGGGTTTGAGCAATAAAGCTAGGCCTGCTGCTTCTGTCTATTTGCAAACGGCTGTGTGTCTTTGCATCTTTATCCAACACAGCGGAGCCACAGGAAGCAGGTGCTCTAACACAGAGCCACAGCCTCTCTCTTAAAGTAAGGTGCTAGTCCTCATGGTTCCTGAATACAGGGCTGCTCTAGAAAGCCTTATCTAGGTCTTATACCTAGTCAGGCCAATGGTCTGCCTAGCTTCATACTGTATTGCCTACGCTGGTTTCCTCTGTGGGGTTTCAGTCAGGGGTCTTTCTATAAAGCACATTTAAAGAGCACACACACAAATCCAAGAAAAAGAATTGTAGTTTGTTAAGGGTGCTGAGAATTGTAGCTCTGTCGGGGGCAAACTATAGTTCCCAGGATCATTGCTGTGTGCATTAAATGTGCTTTAAATGTGTGGTCCTATCACCTCCTGGCAAATAGAAGGGGAAGAAATGGAGGCAGTGAGAGATTTTACTTTCTTGGGCTCCATGATCACTGCAGATGGTGACAGCAGCCACGAAACTAAAAGACACCTGCTTCTTGGGAGAAAAGCAATGACAAACCTAGACAACATCTTAAAAAGTAGAGACATCGCCTTGCCAACAAAGGTCCGTATAGGAAAAGCTCTGGTTTTCCCAGTAGGGATGTATGGAAGTGAGAGCTGGAGCACAAAGAAGGCTGATCGCCGAAGAATGGATGCTTTTGAATTCTGGTGCTGGAGGAGACTCTTGAGAGTCCCATGGACTGCAAGAAGATCAAACCTCTCCATTCTGAAGGAAATCAGCCCTGAGTGCTCACTGGAAGGACAGATCCTGAAGCTGAGGCTCCAATACTCTGGCCACCTCATGAGAAGAGAAGACTCCCTGGAAAAGACCCTGATGTTGGGAAAGATGGAGGGCACAAGGAGAAGGGGACGACAGAGGACGAGATGGTGGGACAGTGTTCTCGAAGCTACGAACATGAGTTTGACCAAACTGCAGGAGGCAGTGGAAGACAGGAGTGCCTGGCGTGCTCTGGTCCAGGGGGTCACGAAGAGTCAGACACGACTAAACAACAACAACAAAATACCTCTCTGAACCCCTCGCTGACACACACAACCTGTCCTAGCATCCCCTTATTTTATCCCAAGCTCCTTGACTCCTCAACTCTGCTTCAAAAGATCTCTTTGCCTCTGTGCCGTCTTTGATATTCCTCCCTTCCTAAAACTGCTTCTGGCCACAGAAATACTAATTTCCCGCCTGTCAACTCTCTGCGGTTCCATCCGTTTTTCTGCATTCCGCAACTGCCCTTTGGAGGCAGCTGAACATTCTGTGTCATCAGAGAAGCTCAACCAATAGGGAAAGTGTTTGCCGACAATGGCATTTTTTTAAAAAGCAGTTGCACACACATGACACATAACGAAGAGCAACTCTGTTCTTGGAACTTGTATCCTGGAAGTCATCAGGAAGTCCTGTCCACCCTCAAGGCAATGGTAATGTCACTGCCAATGACATTTTGGAACAATACAAAGAACAAAACAAATTTAAATACATCCTGCGCAGGTCAGGAATTTTAATTAGGTGAGGCTGAGAAGGAACTTGAGCGGAGTGTACACAAAACACATCCCTCCCACCCTGAGAATCCTGGGAACTGCACCCTTCACTGATCTGCAAGTTCACAGCGCCCATAAAAAACTACAGTTCCCAACATTATTGGAGGGGTGCTTTAAATATATGGTCCATGCACAGTCACAGAATAAAAAAAAGGAAACAGGAACTTTGTTTGGCCAAAAGAAACAGAGGCTGCCATCATTTGGGGGGCAGAGACACCACGTGACAGGCAGAAATTCTGCAGGTGTAGCTTATGTCCTTCACTGCAGTTCTGTGCTAAGGAGGAAAGCTTTACCTGGGAGTTTTCTGCTGGACAGGCAGCTACTGAATATTATCCTGAAAGAGCATTAAAGATAGCAAGCTCCCCTCTCAATATGTATTACATCTGATCAGACAGAGAGATAGAGAAATATTGTTATATTCATGTTATTGTAAGTTGCCTTGTGCTTTTAAAAACTGGAAATGGGGAGAGAATTTCTTTTTTTAAGGAGGGCATTTAAGAAGGAAAAAACCTGCATTTGCTGGATCCGTTCCCTTCGGTATCAGTTTTATAGTTTTGCTTTTCATCTTTTAATTTTTTATCTGTTGCTATGCTTGTTCTCTCTCTTATATGCATTATATTCATTTTCGTTAAAAATGAAACAGAAAAGCTATACCAAAAAGATAAATAAATTCCTTTCAGCGTTTCCGCCTGCAAGTCTTCACACCAAATAGTCTGTAGCCTGCAAATTTTTGTCAGATATGCATGACATATTTCCTATCTAAATTTGACTGCCTCCTCCAGGTGATTTGAATATACTTCTCCATCAACATGCAAATGTATTTTCTTTTCAAAAAACACAAGTGGTTTCTTTCAAATGAATCAGACCCTGAGTTCAAATTACGCCCCTTCTGCTGTGCCAGCTTCTTGAGATCTGGCTGAGTTACCAGAATTCAAGATGAGCCCATCCATATGCCTTTTCCTTGAGAGGGCGTCTCTGCTTATCACATCGTCGTGTCAGCAGACGCGTCCTTAAATACCTTGAAAACATATTGAGGTTTTGTCCAAATGCTAATTTGTTTAATTGATTAAATGAGTCAAATTACAGAGGATTAATCACACGTACAGACTTCTTTTTTAATCAAGCTGCTGAAAATATGTCAAGCACACATCAGTGAATATTCAACACCAAAGCAGATGTATCACTCTCTGACACACACACACCCAGAACGAGGGTTTATTGGGGTGCAAGGTCACCCCATCCAATAGCCTGGGTGCCCCTCAATAACAGATAACTGTGCAATCGCTACCACCACATCTTAAGTCCTGAAATAACTCATTTCCATTATTTATTACATTAATATCCCAAGGTTCTTCTCACAACAACCTTGTGAGGTAGGCTAGGCTGAGAGGCCGTGACCGGGCCATCGAAGCTCCACGGCCGACTGGAGATTTGAACCCGAGTCTCTCCCTAGTCCGGCACTCTAACCACTGCACAACCGCTGCCTCTGAAGGGCTGCAGGTTCCCCCCTCCTGCCTTACCAAGTCAAATTGCTTCAAGAAAAGGCATCCGTTTAGCGAAGAATTGGAAGAAACAAGATTTACCAACTATCAAAGAATGGCAGATGAAGATGACGGACTAGATGGAACATGCCGAACTGACCGGGAGACTCCGAGACCAGAGAGAAGAGACAGTGGAAGAAGGTTGGAAGAAGTTTAAAGAATATTTGAAAAAAATATGTTAATATTTAAATCTTAGAATAGCTTTGGAAGTGGATATAGGCTGTAGGGTTAGAAGTAGAAGACAGGGTATTTTAAAACAGTATTATTTGTAAGTATAAAATGTGAAGTTATTTTAAGTGTGATAAAAAAAAAGATGGTTAGAAATTATGATATATGTAAACTGCTAAAGATGAAGTAAAATGAAAATCAGATAGGTGGGACTTGGGGAAGCCCACTTAACAATATTTAGGGGAAAAAGGATATGACAAGAATTTGTTTGTATCGTTTGTCTTTTCTGTTTGTGTTTTTTATTTGTGTTATAAAATGAATATACTTTTTTGAGAAAATAAAAAAGAGCAGGCATCGGTTTCCTGCCGATCGCAGCGTGGCTCGCTTTCTCGAGTCATCAGGAGCTTTTAAAGCAGTCGGACAAGGCGCAGGTCCTGGTCCAACACTCTGACCAGCACATCTCACGGACTCAAGACTCATCGGCGCATTAAACGGAGCACAGGCTGCTTCCAGCCGTGGGCCAGCGCTTGTGGGAAAGGCTGCGTACGCTTGTGGGAAAGAGTGAACACGTTTGTCGTTGAACCTTAGAGGTGAGCAGCTACATGGCTGCACAGCTTGTGTATAGTGGTACCTCGGGTTAAGAACTTAATTCGTTCCGGAGGTCCGTTCTTAACCTGAAACTGTTCTTAACCTGAAGCACCACTTTAGCTAATGGGGCTTCCTGCTGCTGCCGCACTGCCGGAACACGATTTCTGTTCTTATCCTGAAGCAAAGTTCTTAACCTGAAGCACTATTTCTGGGTTAGCGGAGTCTGTAACCTGAAGCGTATGTAACCTGAAGCGTATGTAACCCGAGGTACCACTGTACTTGTCAAATGCAGCATGTAAACACTTGTTGCAGGAGAAGGACTTAGTGGGTGAGCTTCTACCTTGGGTGCAGAAGGTTCTGGGTTCAATTCCTGGCATCTCCTGGTAGGGCTGGGAAACAGCTTCCCCATCTTCTTCCTATCTTCGAATCAGCCCCATATTTCGAACGCTGAGGACTGGAATCTTAATTTCTTTTTAGGGCAAAGACTGCAGCTTAAATGGGCAGGGCAGCTGCCCTGCAAGCAGAAGATTTTCGGTTCAATCCCAAACATCTCCAGGTACAGCTGGGAATGTTCCCTGCCGGAAACCCCTGGAGAGACCCTGCCAGTCAGTGTAGACAATATTGAATTAAATTAACCCCTGGTCTAACTTGGTTGGAGTCAGCAGCTCCCAATGTTCCTACGAGAGCCTTCTCTGAGAGAAAGATATAAAATGAAGAGACATACCGTATTTTTCGCTCTATAACACGCACCCGACCATAACACGCACATAGTTTTTAGAGGAGGAAAACAAGAAAAAAAAAATTCCAAACGAAACAGTGGATGTATGATTTTTGTGGTTCATGCTGCGGCCACAGACATGTGATCTGACGGTGAGTTTGGGGTAGCCCAATGCAAAAATTCTGAGGATCCATGTGGATCCGTGCTTTGTAACCACGTTTTTGCACAATTGTGGCCCCAGGCAACAGTGGGTGCGTGATTTTTTTGGTGCAAGATGCAGCCATGGATCCTCTGCTCACGACTGCAGCAGATCCCCCCGTCATCCATAGGCATTCGCTCCATAACACACACAGACATTTCCCCTTACTTTCTAGGAGGAAAAAAGTGAGTGTTATGGTGCAAAAAATACGGTATTTTTCTCTCCAACCAAAGCACTCACCACACCAACAGCCAGATAAACCCCCTTTCTGAGGCGGGAACACCTCCAGGGACTCCCCGCAGGTAGACCACGCCTGGCTGGGGAGGCTCTATCTGGCCTCATCCTCACAGACGTCGGAGAAACATTTATCCCACTTCAGGGATGGCGTCTAGACGGGAGCGGATTTTGCCCAAGGGGTCAGCCGTGAGCTTCCTTGGCCCCAAATCGCTTGACAGATCTCCATCTAGTGCAATTTTGCTTCCCAGAGTCGCCTGCACACCATATCTTTAAAGCACTGCTCCCCCACAAAAAGAACCCAGTATACTGTAATTTACAGAACTACAGTTCCCAGCATGTCCAACAACCTACTTTTAACACCCCCCTCCAATAACCTGAGAACTATAGTTTACTTTCCCAGAGCGACAATTCCCATCATCCATGACAAACAACTTTTATCACCCCCCCCAAGAATCCTGAAAAATGCAGTTCACCCCTCACAGCGCTACATTTCCCAGCACCCCTGACGAATTACATTGAAAGCAGCCACGCACCCCAATAACCTGAGAACTGCCATTTACCTCTTTTAAAAAAGCTACAGTTCCCAGCACCCTGACAAACTACATTTAAAACACACCTACCACTCCAGAATCCTAGAAACTTTAGTTCGCCCCTCACAGAGCTACAATTCCTAGCACCCTCGACAAACTATAATTCCCATATTTTTTGTGGGGATTGAATGCATTTCCCAAAACGTTGCCAATCCAGTTCATCCTACCCCTTCTGTCGCTCCTGGGCCAAATTTGGCACAAGGTCCGCCAGTTGCCGACCCAGGTCACCAAGCAGACTCTGCGGGAAGCCCCTTCCCCTTCAGAGACTCACCTGGGGGCAGAAGACCCTCCTCTCCTCCTCTGGGCCCCAGAGATGAGGGTGCAGCCAGCTTCTCCCTATCCCTCCGGCCGGCATGGAGAGCCTCCTGGGACGGTTCCAGGAGGCCATGGCGCCTTTTCGGCTCGGAGCATCGGTCGACAACAACCTCTCTTTCTTCTTCTCCTCCTCACCTGCCTGAGCTGAGGAGCCGGTCTGACCTCCAGCTCGGCTGAGAGAGGCGTTCCATCTTTCTCTTGGGCTGCTCCTCCTCCTCCTAATTGTCACATTCCCTCGAAATTACATCATGGAGGCCCAACGATGAAGGAAGTCTTCAAATACATCAGGGAGGGGAGGCTGCGTGCACAGCAACAGAATTAAAGCACATTCTCCCGTGGGAATGTCTTGTTGTTGTTTTTTTTAATTATTCATTTTTCTTTTTCATTCATTACATACATCTCAAATTCTTAACATTTACTATATATTCCTCCTTCTCTCCCCTCCAAGATTTCCCCAAACTTCGGCTTCTGGTTGGTTTCTGCTTTCACCCGCTTTGCTATCTCTCAACAAAAATGGTTAATAATAATAATAATAATTTATTATTTATACCCCGCCCATCTGACTGGGTTTCCCCAGCCACTCTGCGCGGCTTCCAACAAAACACTAAAATACAATAACCTATTAAACATTAAAAGCTTCCCTAAACAGGGCTTCTTCTAAAAGTTTGGTAGTTATTTTTCTCTTTGACATCTGGTGGGAGGGCGTTCCACAGGGCGGGTGCCACCACTGAGAAGGACCTCTGCCTGGTTCCCTGTAACTTGGCTTCTCGCAGGGAGGGAACCGCCAGAAGGCCCTTGGAGCTGGACCTCAGTGTCCAGGCTGAACGTTGGGGGTGGAGACACTCCTTCAGGTATACTGGACATAACATCAAACCTAAAAACATAGAAATAAAAGTAAATGCACCATCCTATTTCACCATCTTCTAAGCATTTTCTGATGTTGATAATGTGGATGTTTATTTAAATCCTGCCATCAAGTCTATTGACTTTCTTTGTTTCTGCAAACATAATATGAAAGGTTCCCAATCTTTTCCAAAGTCTCTGTTGTCTTCTACTCTTAGTCTATCTGTCATTTTTGCATAGTTCATCAACTTCTCTTAGTTGGTATTTCTCCAGTCTTCCAGTTTTGTGCAATCAATGTGCTGTTTTTTAAGGGTGCTGGGAACTGTAGATCTGCCCAGGGGGAAACTACGGTTCCCAGGATTAAGAACAGAAGGAAAGCCTGCCGATTCGGGCCAAAGGGGGCCCAACCAGTTCAGCTTCTGATTCTCACCTTGGCCAACCAGAGGCCTGTGGGGAACCGGCAGGATTCGAACTCTTTCTCCTCCTATGGTTTCCAGCGACTGGTATTCAGACACACTGCTGCCTCTGGCTGTGGAGGTTCTGGTAACCGCCGTTAATTACAGTAATACATCCAATCCTCTTTTAAAGGTAAAGGGACCCCTGACCATTAGGTCCAGTTGTGGCCGACTCTGGGGTTGCGGCACTCATCTCGCTTTATTGGCCGAGGGAGCCGGCGTACAGCTTCCGGGTCATGTGGCCAGCAGGACTAAGCCACTTCTGGCGAACCAGAGCAGCGCACGGAAACGCCGTTTACCTTCCCGCCAGAGGGGTACCTATTTATCTACTTGCACTTTTGACGTGCTTTTGAACTGCTAGGTTGGCAGGAGCAGGGACCGAGCAACGGGAGCTCACCCCGTTGTGGGGATTCAAACCGCCGACCTTCTGATCGGCAATTCCAAGGCTCTGTGGTTTAACCCACAGTGCCACCCGCGTCCCTAGATATATAATAAATGTTAATAAGTGTACCAACCAAGCAAGTACATAGATCAGCAGAGGAAGACCGACCTGAAACCATTCTTGATTCCCAAACTAACCAAATGTTTTCTCTGCAAGGAGGGAGGGGGGTCAGGGAGCCTTCCCACTGTCTCAGGAATTGAGTAATCAGCATTTTAATGGGTGACAGACTATCAGGAAAGGCAATCAGGAAAGGCAGATAACCTGGCAGACAGGAAAAATGCTTTCAGATTTCTGCTGTAGACCGCCTTTTCTGCGATGTAGGTATGTGGGGGGGGGGTGGTCTTGGGTTACACCCCTTCTGTGATGTATGTATGATGTGTGGAGGGGTGGTCTTGAGCTCCAGGGCAGGGAATTTAAAATGTCTAGACGTTGTTCGAGGTCCTCCTCCTTTCCTGCATGTGAGGGGAGCCCCCTGTTGCAACAGATCAATAAAGATCAGGCTTACTAGCTGCTTTGCTTCTCAGTATTCTCTGCTTGGCCTCTGTTATTTTCTCCTACCAATAGGGAACCCACATAAGGACTCTATATGGGCTCTTGGATACCCCATAAGGGGAAAAGGGCAGATTTTGTTTACAACATTCCTTCCTTGGATGTTTTTAAGCAAAGGTTGGACGGCCGTCTGTCACGGATGCTTTTGCTGAGATTTCTGCATTGCAGGGGGTTGGACTGGATGACTCCTGGTACCCCTTCTAACTAAGATTCTATTATTCTATCCTTATGCAAGACAGCTTGCTCTTAGAAATACAGAAGATCAGCCCGCGGATGAAGCAGAAGGGCGGGCAGGAAAGATGTGCACAACTCCCTGGAACCTTCTACCTGGAAAGGTAGGCAATGATCTCTGATTGGCGGCTCCTCCTAAGGAAACACAGCGAAATTTGAGTGAAGGGCACCTGCAAAAGTTGCACAGTGGAATTGGAAGTGAACTTTGTCCTGACCAGCTGGGCAAACATGAGCAGCACCCAGCCCAGCCCACAGTTTGCCACTTACCCCAGCAGCTGATAACTGGGGCCAGTTAGGCAGATTTTAGATATCTGAGATGTAGCAAAGCCGCTTTCCTTCTGCTGCCTGCTCCTGAGGGAAGGAGCTTCTGGGGTGCAAAGGATCTGGGAAATTGGTAGATTGCCAGCAGGCTGCCGAGTCTTTCTCAGTAGACCAGAAAGCATTTCTTGACTCTGCTCTAACTGTAAGCAAGCTCTGAGCCTCGGTGTTCCACAGATGTAAAATGGGCCTGTGTGCTGCTGCCGCTGCTGCACCATGTTGCTTTTTCCTCCTCCCTCCCAATCGCTTTTCCTTTTGTGCCGTGTCTGTCTTATTCCTTCATGCTTCCAAGCTAACTTGGAAGGCTTTTCCAGCAGTGAACAGCGGGTTAAAAAATGGTTTGAATGGATGAATAAAAATATTCATTCTGGCCTGGTGTGAATCTCTCTCTCTCCCTCCCCCTCCCTCCCTCCCTCTCTCTCTCTCTCTCTCTCTCTCTCTCTCTCTCTGTTTTTCACCTAGAAATATGAGTGGTTGTCAATGAGAA